CTCTTGCCCCTCTCTTTTTGCCAAGCCTGCGGATTTGGGCGCCTGGGTAAGCTCTCTTTTTTTTTTTTTTTTTTTTGTCTGGATCTTGCTTATTCCAAGTGTCATGTTGTTACTGCGCGCGTACAGATTGTTATTGCTGAGCACAGATGCAGGATTTTATTTTCTGTCATTACATTTTAAAAGGTGTTCAGCTAGAAAATTGCATATTATTTCCTCCATAAAGATTTTCGCTGGTTCCTTTTGTGTAGCTTACAGCTGCTGAAACCAAACTCGATCTGGTGATGTGTGTTCTTGGCTAAGAGAGTAACAGAAACAGGAAGAAATGAAGGTTACACCAGTACTGCTTATTAAGGCTATGAGTCTGCATCTGGGTTCTAAAACAAAACAAAACCCAGTCACCTGCCTTCAACCGAATTAGAGAAAGGACAAAATGCAAGTGATTTTGAACGCCTTGTGTGTTTGGAATAGTGACTGCAGGTGGCTCCACAGTAGTGCTGATATTTTTGCTGATGCAAGTGGAAGTTGAGTCAAGGCTCCCCCATGGTTACTTGTCCTGTACAAGCCTCCCTGTAAAGTTCTGCTGTTCAGTCTCAGGCATGATGTGCACCAGCTGCCTCTTGCTGTTTCAGTGTTGCCCTTTCAGCTCTGCCATTCCCTTCAGGCTTGGTCAGGAACATGCCAGCTAGCTAATTTTGGAGCTAGTTCTGTTCTTCAGTGCATTGCTGTCAATTCCTTCTTCTAGTCTTGGAGCCTTTAATAGCATTTGTTTTTCTCCCCTGCCACCTGGACTGCTACCAGGACTGGAAGAGACATGGGAAAGCATGAGGTATAAGAATTTGCAGTTGTGAAGTGTGGCAAGCTGAGGTACCCAGCCAAAACATCTCTGCTGTGCTGCTGCAGAGATGTTACTGGATACCTTTGGGGGAAGCTGATAACTCCTCTCAGCAAAGACAGGATGATGTAGAAACAAGGCATTTGACAGAGACTTAAGGACCTTTCCTTTATTCTTGTAGCTTCTTTCCCTGGATTGCCTTTGATTGATTCTCTGGGCGTCATCTCACTAGTTTGTCTGTGACTGGTGAACGTGTTTTGCCAAGAAGATAAATATTTTTGCAATAATCTTGCCAAGTGCTATGACTTGCCTTTGAGAAATTTCTTTATAGATTGAGGGTATGGACCTTTCCTTCTAGCTTGACTTGCCCTTTGCAAAGGGAGGGGTGGGGTTTTTTTCCTCCAGTAGAGTCTTCTCCATGCCCTCTCCCCGAATCCCAACAGTATCGCAGAGAGAGACAGCCTGATGGTAGCCGTCAGCTGTGGGCTGTGCTATTGCTGCACTTTATTCCTGGGTGCCACATTCCCTACTGTAATCTGACCCTGCCAAGAAGCCCTTTTTTCCAAGCAGATTTCCTTCCTAGTTTTCATGTTTAACAAGGTGATGAGAAAGGACTGTGATTAAAAATAATAAAAATCTGGTGATATTTTGTGGTCGGCAAAGCCAAAGCTAATCTGTGAATGGATGTAGCTAGAGTGAAGCCCAGCTCTAGAAGATCAGTTGCACAGTCTGTGTTGCATGTTGGTGTCAGTTCAGGATGAGGCTGAGAGTGTCTGGCTTTGTTCATAGAGAATGAACCAGTAATATTTCATTACCTCAATTAAGAGGCTTGTAAAATATTTCTTTTGGCCTGCCTGTCAGCTAGCAGGCCAGTGCTTGAATTCTTTAGTTGAGCCAGTATGTAATGCATAGCTTTAGAAATGTGCTTTCACAGTTTGTTTCTAAATGGGTCACTTGATAAAGGGAGAGGAGGAGGCAGGGAATCACACATGACTCTGCCCTAGCTCTTTGTCACCATTCAAAGCAGCACTGAGATAACCTGAAAAACTTTAGACTGTGGAAAAAGTGTAAAGATAAAACACGTAGGAAGAATTTGAAAGAGCCCCCAACCAGTCCATGGATCCATGCCCGTGGAAGCTGTAGTAGCATGCTAGTAGTATACCTTCACTGTCCTTTTGTAAGAATGCAATGCTTGTAACTTCTGACACCATCACAGGGAATTCTTGAGCATTTCCTGAATATATCTTACACCTAGTTTTTGTACAGAGGGCAACTGCCTATTGCATACATTCTCTTTTGCAAATACGTGCTGTCCCATGCTACCTTTCTAAGTTTTGGGTGCATTCGTGTGTGCTACAACTAACTATGCTCTTCCTCCTCTCCCTCTCTTTTGTTTCTGTCTTCATAGTCCTTGGATATCACACTCTCTGCTGTGTTCTACACTACAGTTTCTTAGATGTCATCTCTTGGCTTTGGTCATCTCTTGCATGATATGTTCAAGCTCAGATGTAGCTTCTGCAGCGTGGATGTGAAATGCAACTTTCTGATATAAGATTTTCAAACCAGTGTGTTATCACGCACGTCTTCTCTTCTCCTTCCTTCTTTAGTTCTAAACGCGTTTCTGAAAAGTGTATCTGATGCTTTGTTTGGCACCTGCAATCTCAATCCCCTGTGAAATTGTAATCATCTCCATAGCAGCCAGTTCTGTCTGGGACATCACAGGCTTTTGACTTCAGGTAGGGAATAAGCAGCAGGATTAGAGGAACTCTTAATAAATATCCTGTATTCATACAAAGTTTCCCTTGTTGCCTAACCCAGTTTGGAACAGTCAATATTTCAAATGACACCATTTATACTTCAAACATCATAAAGTCTACTAAGGTTTCTAGTAATAATAGCTGGGCATAGAGGGAAACAAAAAGCAACTTTCAAGCAGATCTGTCTCAAATAGAATGTTTCTCAGTATACTTCAATGCTCTGAAACATCAGCAGCTCTTGAAAATAAGCAAGGCATTGAAAATATGTTTGAGCTGCGAGTAAAAGTTTTCTCTGCAACCTCTGGTTCATCATACAACTTATGGGCAATAAGTGGGACATAATGGGAGATAATACAGGAGAAATTACTTAGGGGGAAGGACGGTGAGTATACTGACGTTGTAGTCTGCAGTTGGGAGATCTGGTTTTGATTCTTTGATATCATTTTTGAAAGACCCTAGGGAAGTCACTAGCAGAATGTCTGTCTGCTGCAGGGTGCATTGGTGTGAAGGCATTATTCACTGTGGGCATCCCACTCAAGTCAGGTCTGCTTGGGAGTCCATAGGTCGTCATCATGCAGATCAGCACACCTCTAGTGTGTCTGCATCTCAGCACCCTACTTGAGAGATTAGGTATTTGGTTTGTGTTCCCTTCCAGAGGTGTCACATAGATAAATATGCTGAATTTTTTGGTGAATGAGGTCAGGCAAGCTCATAGGTTGAAAAGATTAGTGGGTGTGTGGGTACACGGATCCATGTCTTGCCAGAAACAGAATAAAGCCTCTTGCCCACCAGTATTGTTACATGTATTGGTTTTGTCCCCCCCGAATAGTTTGCTACCCTGGGAGAGTAGCGCTGCCACATAATTAATTTATTTAGATTAAGCAGAAACTTTCTTGTTTTTAAGAGTTCATCTTTTGACTCTTTTTTTTTTTTTTTTTTTTTTCTTTTTTTTCCCTTGTATTATACTTCACACGAAAAGCACCTTCCATCTGAATTGTGCAGACGGGTCAATACTATGTTACTCTTCTTTCTTTTCCTTATTTAATTTCTCCTTAAGGAAATACAAGTCACTTGTTTAGTAATCTGATTTTATGGGTGTTATGCAGAAAATCATCAGGAGAATCAGGGTCCTTTGGTCATCCACCAGACCACCCTGGTGGTCTGTTTCTTCTTACATCTGTTTCATTTCAGTTGAAATTGCTTAGTCCTTTTCTGTATAGAAGATGGATATTGGTTCACAAGGATAGCTATGGTTCTCTTATCAGAAAATGGTGATAATTTTGGCACTTAGAAAGTGCCCATCAGTGCCGCTATTGTTGCTGTGGTATCTCCTTGGTCAGGCTACATGTATGGGGCAGCTCATTCTCATCCCTCTCCCCGTTGTATTTCAGCCAGTTTGCAGGCTGGAAGATATATAGCAGCTCTGGTTAAAACAAAGCCAGAGATTTTGCCTTTAATCAAGTGTCTTTGAGAGAAAGAGGATTTAGATATGAGTCTATAGTGTTTGTGCCTTACCGTGGCCCTGTTGGCTGGGATGACAAACATGGGGACCAAAATATTTTTTTCCTTTAAAAACAAACAGACACCACCACCACACCCCTACAATCCCCCTATTTAATGTACTCCTTTTCTTGCTTACTTATCGACCGTCCCTCACTGCCTATCTTAAAAATATCTTCTAAGCCCTATTATACCACTGTATTTCCATCAGCAGGGGAGGAGAAAGAAGGAAATGCACAGCAACTTGCTTTCAGATGTAATTTTTCTCATTAACAATGGCTGTTGGCTGTAAAATGACAGGTCTGAGCCCACGGGGATGTTTCTGTCCCAGCTGCTTAATCATATTGGACCAGCGTTCTCTGTGATTGTACCATCATCATTAGTAGTTAAGAGCAATGCTGCTGTGATGCTATAGATTAGCAGGGTTTGTGTTCATGTTAAATGGACTAGCAATTCTGGTTTTGAAAGGTCTTCTGCCTGTTGATAACTTATGTGGCCCCAGAGATTTTTGGGGCAGGATGGGGGAAGAAAACCAAGTGCCATTCTTCTTGCTATTGTTGCTTGTTATTTTTAAACTTTAAAAGTTTGGTTCAGTTCCATCGATGCCATGTTTTCTTAATGTGAGTTCAGCTTAGGGGTGGGAATGCAATGAAGTGCTGCTGGTTGTAAAAAGCTAAAAGGCAAAAGCTGTTGCTGTAACCACACAGATTTCTTTTTTTTTAATTGAGCACTGTTTAGCTGATGACCAGGTTATGCTTAAGCATGTGCTTGTATACACTGTTTTGGAAGCTTGCTGTTTTGGAAGTGTCACAGTTATACTTTGGAAGATGGAAGAGAAATTCTCTGACAGCCATCTCCTTTCCAAATCTGCGTCACCCAGCCAGAGGAACTCTGGGCATGCTGGTGGTGTATGCACAGAGAGAGTACTTAATTGTCAGGGTAGTCCCGTGTATGTCTGCAAAAGCAAATGCATGGTCAGTGAGAATGTGTCTTGCTATAAAAATGTTACAATGTAGCCTTGTATTTTGGATTTTCCTCATAATTGCAGGGATGTGTTACATCTGTAGAAGTTTTCTGACTCTCCAAAGGGCAAGTGTTTATAAAGTGGAGGATTTGAGGTTTATTTTCAAGGTAAGGTGAAGAACATTGAAGTGGAGTAATAACCATGATTCGTGGAAAAACAAAGACTTGGATAAGGTGGAGTCCTGAAAAAGGTGATAGGAAGGTGTCACCTTTTTATGATTATACGTTTTCATTTAATAAGGAGAAATAAAATCAAGGTTATGAGTTTGAGTATGATACTAATAAGAGCATTTCAAACTTGTGGGGATAATCCAAAATGAACTGCAGTACTGAAGTTCCACCGAGAGGGATCCCATACACCAGTCCTAAGCAATGATTTTTTTTTTTTAGTTCCTTTCAGTGTGCATCCCATGCGCTTTCCTTGCACTCACACTTTTTATTTTTAATTTCTTCTTCTACTGATGCGCTTTTGTTCTTCTTCCCAGGCCGTGGAGCTACAAGGCAGGGAGGCAGAGTTGAAGCGGCAAGAGGCCTTCTATAAAGAGCAGCTGGCCCGCATTGAGAGGAAGGTAAGGCTAAATTGTCTTTTATTTGTGGCCTCTGCATACTAATGGGATCGGATGTGGATCTGTGTGGATCCAAAGAGTAGAGAAACAAGAAGCATTGCGCTGAAACCTGGAACTGTCAGCTCCCAATATCTATCTGTCCCCCACCCCTTACATAATTAAGGGATGAAAAAGCTGTACAAACCAAATCTTTTGAGCAACTTGCATTTGAAAGATAAAGGGGTTTTAACTGGACGATTTTTAAAAACAGATTTCTAGTAGTTCAAACTTTATTTTCTTTTTCACTATGGAGTTTAGGTGCATGCTAAATTGAAAAAAACAACTGCCCTGGTTTTTTTTATTCCTTTTGTTAAAAATCCTTTCCTAAATTAAAAAAAAAAACAACCCACAAATCTTGCTATAAATTTGAATTAAAGTTGTATTATTAATTTTTCTCTGGGGAACCCAACAGTTCAAAGAATGGTGCTGCAGTGCACTGCCTGCTTCTTGCTGGATAAGCCTTTGAAATGAACATGATTTAAAGAGACACTGTCAAGCATCTTTTAAGCCTGAAATGACCTTTGAAAATCCATTTAGGGATTTGAATCTCTCCCCTAAACGTGGGATTTGCTTCTCTGTTTAATTGTTTTCCATGATGAGTTTTTAAAAATTGATGCCATAAAAATAGGAGCAGCCATGCTGTTCCTTATGAACTAATGCATTTTTCACTTCCTGGCAAAATGAAATAATGTTATAAGTAGTCTTTATTTTTTAATAAATGTGGAGAATAATCTTCTCCAATTTGAAGCAATTAGACCTCCTGACAGGGAGTTGCATATATCCAACTTGTAGTTGTGTTATGCGACTAAAAAGAAATGCAAACAATGAAAAAGGTGGGTTGTAAAGAGACAGAGAAATCAATCAGCTTTACTACCAACATGTAGCGTGATGGTGAATATGGAACATGGAAAATTGCAGATTATAGAAATGGTAGGAAACTATCGGCACATCTATTCCCCATCTCATTCCCTGCTTCTGCATGATTGTCCATGCAGCATTTTTTTAAGCCATTGATGGTAAAACATGCCCATGAGCAATTTCACATGATACAATTTTGCAACACTTTAATCCATACAGTTCATTAAAAAATAAACTATTAAAGCTACCACTCAGTCTTGCATTCAGATTTTTAAATTCTATTTCTAGATAATGGGGATTGTTCAGTGAAATTGCAAACAATCTAGCAGCTATCGTTCTAATTATCGCAGTTGTCCATATGTTCATACGCAAAGGGAATTTTTGCAATTTCTTGGTCTCATGCTGTGTGCTTCTATTATATTCTTCTCTCTGGATGTGGTTTCATGAAGTGGAAACTGCAGGGAAAATCTGTATGTGTGTCTGTCCTTTATGGACAGTGGAGTGGGGAGAAGTTTGTGTCCAGGCTGCATTGTCCTCTTTTTGAAGTCTTTTGTTGTGTTTTGTGTTTCCCTTTTCAGGTCCAAGTCCCTTGCTGCAGGGTAACTTTTTAAACAAGGTGATGGATATTTTAGTGCAGGATCTTCTCAGGGAAGTAAGGTGGCCTTCCCATAGTCCTATTCAAATTGCAGAGCTGCATAGAAACTATCTTCTAGTTCTTACGTGTACAAAAGCAAGTAGATAAAAAGGACAGGTTTCCTTTCCTCTCTTGAAAGACTAGATAGTTTCTGACCCTTGAACACTAGCATTTTGCTGGTAATAAAATAGAAGAATGCCTCCAACCGTTAGTCTAGATTGGAGTGGGAGGTGGTGGGGGCTAGAAGGGAGAGGAGAGAAATGTACTTGAAACAGTGTAATAAAGCTTAATTGTATTAGTTTTGAAAAAGGTTTTCGATCTTTTCTGTGGATAATTTTATTCCTATAATGGTTGGAAAGATGGAAAACACAGCACAGAACAATCTTTTTTATTAGCTGTTGCTTTTATATAATTCTGCTTTTATTTGTTGAATATACGCAGACCTTGGCATTTATTTATTTATTTTTCCTTCCACTGTGCTAAAACCTTCCAACTCAGGCTTAGATATAGTTTTATGTATCTATGTATATATGTGTGTGTATACTTTAGAAAAAAGCTCTCGGTAAGGGGATGAGATGGGGAGGAGCTCTGAAATGGAAGTTTGCTTTCTCCGCTGTTTTCAGAGGGGATGGTCACTTGGCGTGTGGTCACTGGTAGTTCGGAGGTGTTGGGCTGGGAGTGAATGGATGTGATGGCTCAGTGTGGAGTTAGAAAGCTGAAATTTCTCCTTCCAAGGACCAGGCTATCAGGAATGTGCCCCTTTCCTTCCCTGCTGTGCCTATCTATAACGTCAGGTTGGCTTTGTCCCTACTTCTGCATGATAACAGAATTCAGCAGTAGGAGACTTAGTTTTTGAAGGATGTTTTAAACTGTTGATATAATAGAATAGTGGTGTTATATACTCCTTACAACTTAGTAGCTGCTGCACTGAATCAAACATGGAGATTGTCCTGTTTCTTCTGACAGTGGTCAGTTTTCAAAGGCTTTGAAGGAAGATGCAAAAAAAACCTCACCAAAACAAAAATACAAAAAAACCTTTTGGAAAACAACTTGGAGAAAAGTATTGCTAAGTGTTGTCAGTCGGAGGCTGACACATGCCCTGCTGCAAAAGAGTTTATTTTTATTCAGTATTTTTATTCACTGTAATGGAACTTGGATTACTGCCATCGTTATTCTACCTGTCTCAGGCATTTTTCCTGAAGCCTTGTTTAGCTCTTTGCCTCCAGTACCATGTGGCAGTGTGTGCCACAGGTTAACTTATATACTCTATAAATTCTCTGTTACCAGCTTCAAATACTTTTTTTTCATTTAATACCCTTTATGTTGAAGAGATAAAAGAAAATCTCTTCATTATTCATTACCTGTAGACTTCTGTTCCCTCTTTCACCTTCCCATTAAGCTGAGCAGACCTCACCTTTTCAGCCTCTGCTTGTATGAATGATTTTTTTCCAGGTTTCTCATTCTACTTGTTTGTCTTTGGGCCCTTTCCCCCTTGTGGCTCTGTCTGAGATGTATTGACCAGAATTGAACTCAGTAGTTTCCCTGAATGCAGCAGATTGTGTTGAATATATTATCCTTTTATTTTGTAATCTCTGAAAGAGTACTGTAATCTACTGGACAGAGCACAGAATTGGAAGCAAAAACCTACTCATTTTCTAATAGCTGTTTCTCTTTTGGGAGTTTGAAACAATTACTTAGTCCATCTATCTCAGTTATTCCATCTATATGATGGAATAGCTTATAATGGGAGGGCAAAGTGTTGTGAAACACTAAAGCTATAGAAATGCTAAAAAGGCTTTGCCTGTAGTTTTGCATGAGATGAACTATGGGTGTATCTTATTTCAAATAGATCTTGAGAAACTCAGTTTCTCTAGAAAGTCTTATTAAAATTTTTACAGGAAAGGGTGTGTGTGACAAAATAATTTCAGTGTTTCAGCTTTTGGGGTTTTCCCTACGTCTTCTACTAAAGCACTGGAAGAAGTTAAGACGGTGAGTGCAGCAGTGCTGTGTCACACTAAAGATCCATCTAGTTCAATATACTGGTCCTGACTGTGACTGAAAGCGGATGTCCAGGGATGAGTGTAAGAGGAGGGCAATGGTATACTTGCCCCAAATGCTTTGATCATCCTGGCTGGTCGTCTTTGAAACTCTTCCACATCTATTTAATCCTCCCTGAGAGGTATGGACCAGAAATGTGCACACAGTGCTCAAGATATAGGTGGACCATGAATATATATGGTAGCTGTATCAGAATCACTGTTTCGTTCTCTTTCTTTGTAGTGCCTAACGCTTGATTTGCACTTCTGACTTGTGTTGAGCAAATGCCACGCGCTACTGCTACTCGCAGCATTCAGCTATTTTGAGTGCAGATTTGAATGCATGAATCCCAGCTGTGCTGGGATTAAACCAGTGCTGTGATTTGTTGTTGGGAGGTATTCTCCCCACTGCGCCCTTCATTATCAGTTTGTCAGGGGTTGTGTGTGTGTGAAGGGGTGGTAGGTTTTGTTTTGTTCTGCCTGCAGTGCGGTGCATGCTTTTTAGACTTTTTTTTTAATCAAATTTTATTGAACAAATTCCTTGCAGAGGATCAGGACACTGGTGATGCCCTTGGTCTTCCTCACTTCAACTCTGGTAGTTCATTGTAGTTACGTGTTTCAGTCTCTTGCGTTGCTTGTATGTTTTTGTTTTGGAGTGCCTGAACTATTTTGGTAATCAGGAAAATTACAGGGAATATATCCTTTGAACTGACTATTTCTTATATGACTGTGTGTAATTGCAGGATTTTGGAGCTGGTGATAGAGACATTCCCTTCCACACCTGTGTTTCCAATGTGACTGTCTAATCTCGAATAAGTAATCCAGTAATGAGACCTGGATAATTTGTTGTAAGCGGTTAAACTTCTAACTTTGACTTGTTAGAGTAATTTTACATCTCATCAATGTAATTTGGAATCGTTTCACAAAAAGTGGGTGTTTTCTCAACTGTTTTGAAGGAGGTTTTGTACTGTAGTGTTTCTCTGGGTAGAAAGAATGAGAGTTGGACCTAATAATCTGTAAGGAAAACCTTAGAAACACTCAATTTGAGAAGATGATGTTCTTTCATGCATTTATATGTTACTGAGAAGCAGGGAGGGAGATGGAGGGAGCTTGGTATAAATAGTTAACATATATACTAGCTCAGAACTGGGATTTTTATTAAGGATTCTGTGTATGCGTTGTCCTGCTTTCTCCAAATGGTAGAAACATCCTTTAAAAAGTACAATAAGAAAGAAATGCAGTCTCTCCTGGAACCCTTCAGATGCCAGGAGGTTTCACTTGGCATATTAGTTGTATACTTTCTCCCAAGTAAATATTTGTTTGACTCTTTTTGCTGTTTGATCTCTTACTGGGTTTAGCTTGACAAAGATTAAGGGCAGTGCTACAGTATAGCAAAACATGGGCAGCTCTTTGGAGTAGTGTAAAATGGCAGAGAA